GTGTGGAAAAAATAGTTAATGGGGGAAGAAAAAACTGAACTTAAAAACATGAGAGCTAACTGAAATTCCACTGTCTACCGATAAAAAAATAACTCAAATTAAAAAGTGCAAGATGTCTCTTTAAGTTTTAATGTTGGTCTATTTATTGAGATGTCTACATGACTATGCTTAGGCTGTCTTCAAAAAGCACTGTATTTGCATTTTTATTTCTGGATGTTTGACATAAACTCTCCAAATTATACAGTCAGCGTAATAAAAACGAAACTAAAATGAAACATTTTGTAACAATAAAAACTAAACGGAAACAACTAAAACTACTTTGGAATTTGAAATGACACTGAAAACAAAAACGTATTAAATGAAAACTAATTAGATAATGCAAAACTGTAATAACTCATCCAGACTTACAGATGAGTTTTGTTTTCTTTTTTTCTTTGTCTTTTCCTTCCTCCTTCTTCTTCTTCTGCTTTTTTTTTTTTTTTTTTTAACTATTTCCCAAGTTCTTAAACAGAGCAAAGAACTTTTAACACAGCTTCTCCAAACATCCCAGTTTGATCTTGGACACAGAACATCAATTATTCCATAAGCACCAAGATGACCAACATCAGCATTATTAGCTCTCTGATGCTAACAGTCAGTTGTGTATCCTTTGCTGGATAACAGCCTGTAGGCATTTGTTGTAGTTTACAACAAGTCTCGCACACATCTCCCAGCCCATTCTTCTTCTGATGAATCTCTCAATCTCTCCCAGATTTGATGGTCCTCTGGTATGGATCTTGATTTTCAGTGGGATTCAAGTCAGGGCTTTGCACAGGCCAGTCTGTAACATTCACTTTGGTCTTCTGGAAGTATTTCTTCACTAAAAGTGGCATATGTTTTGGGTCATTGTTGCGTTGGAAGACAAAGTGACGACCAAGACTCAGTTTTGCTGCTGACTGCTTGAGATTTTCTTTTGAAATCTTCTTTCTTCGTGGTTCCTTCGTGCTTGACGAGATTCCCAGCTCCAGACGCACTGAAGCATCCACACAACATAATACTCCCACCCTGTGTTTTACTGGGTCTCTCTGGCCAAACAGCTCTAGTTTCATCTTATCTTACTGGAGGATGTGCTTTCAGTATGTATAATCCTTCTCCAGGTTGTCCTTAGCATACTTCAGTATGTCTTGAAGGCGTCTCTTCTGCAGAAGTTGAGTTTTTCTTAGTCTCTAACCTCACAGCCCATCCCTGTGCAGGGTTCTAGTGATTGTCTTCTTGAGACTACTGTTCCTGACTTGGCTAAGTCATTTACTAGTGTCTTGTTCTGGGGTGTTTAGACACATCTCTCAGTAGTTTTCTTTCCAAACTTTTTGAAATCTTTCACTTGCTAATCTCTGCCAGGCTTGTTCTGTACTGTGTGGCTCTCTTTGAATTTCTTGATGATACTTCTCGCTCCAGTTCTTGACAGTTAGAAACGCTGTGATAATTTTGTATGTCCATCTCCTGGTTTGTGACCATCAACAATTAATTTTCTCAAGTCTAAACTAATTTATTTCATTTTTGGCATTATGCTTTCTCAAGTGACAGCTCAAATCAAATACAGAACAAAGGTTTTTGTTCTGTGTATAAATTGGAAGAGAAGCCTCAGTTTTAACTTGATTTTACAAGCTTTGACCATTACACAGCTAAAGCAAATCATTATAGACCAGTGGTTTGTTTCTATGGCTCAAAAAAGGTCAGTTTTTCAGGGGGCTAATAATATTGACCCTGGTAATTTTTCTTTTCTGAAATAATTCTGTTGTTGTTTGCAAATAGAAAAAAATCATGCTCTCTAAAGACAATATTTTTAGAAATGCTATGAGGAAAATTTGTTTCTCTGTTAAAAAAGCAGCTGGGAAAACTTTGATTAAAAATTTAAATTTCAAAGGGACTAATAATTTGTCTTCATCTGTAAACCAAGTTATTTGTTTGCCATGACTGTTGTTGGTGCTCTTTCTGTTCTCCTCTACTCTGTCTTTTCTTACACCACATGGACAAAGTATGGAGTGACTTTGTCTATGTGTTTTTAGTGTTTTCTGTCTCATTGTCACAGGTATATAATATCATGCACCTAGCCATGTCTTTACAAACATTTGTGAAAGAATGGGTTATTCTAAAAAGCTTGCTGAATTAAAGCGTGATACTACCAAGATTCCATGATCAACAGTCGAATAAAAATTACAGATCTGAGGCACATACTGTATATATTTCGCCCATGCACTGCTGGCTCAATAACTGCAGAGTTCCACACCACAGCTGCCATTAACATCAGCACAAATACGTGGCATAGGTTTCCATTGCTGAGCGGCTTCTATAGGTATAATCTGTAAGTGCCCCAGTAGTTTTTCCTATGTAGTGTAACCCTTTTCACCAACTGGTCAAGCCAGATGGATGAAACTCCCTTAAATTGAGTCCACCAGAGGTCTTTTCCTATTAGGAGAAAGTTCTTCCTCCCTACTGTCGCCAAGTTTTTGGTCATGTGGATGTAATGTCATTCACACTGTATGCATATGTTTGAACTCTCTGATATTGTAGGGTCTGTAGGGTCTTAATGTTAATTTATGTTGTGTTATTTTGCTTTAAAATACAATGCTATTCTATTTAATGTTTTGGGAAGTTCTATGTGCCATGTTTCTATGTGCCTGTATTTCTTTAAGTGTCAAATAAATATGCCATTTTTGTTTGCACTTCTACTGATGCATGGACTAGTGACTCTGTTGGCTCTTCCAGTATCACTGACATTAGATGACAGAAGTCAAATGCTATAAATTTCTGTCTCCCATGTAAATGATCACAGGCTGTCAGCCACGCTTGTCAAATTAAACGTTTACCATAGTTGGTAAACATGCCATTCCATCTTTGCTCTGCAATGCAGCTTTCACGCTGTCAAATGCTTAGGCATTAGAAACTCTTTCTGGTGCTACAAGCTGAATTCCAGCTACAGAAATGGACCAAATTGGAGTTTTCTCACCTCTTGTTTTCAGTGCGGTGTAGATACTAAACAGTCTACAAGTTTCTTTGGGTTCTTTAAACCTAGCCAGTGGACTGCAGCCATTAGCACTTATGGGTTGCAGTTTCCCAGTTTCCTCTCACTTTAATGTGATTTTGATTAGATTGGCTGGAATGAGACAGACGTTAGGTTTGGTGACATTTTAAATGTCTGTTTAGAAAACTGTTGCTGCAGGTGATGTTGCCCGGCAGCTGTTTATTTGTACTCCCCCTGTAATATTTTCCCGCCACACAGTCATCAGATAGCACATTTTTCAGAGACACTGCAAACTTCATTATTTTATTTTTTTTACCCCTTTTGTGTTGACAAAGAGAAATAGTCCAGGGAAAATAATAACTTTGTTAGTGATTGTATAAAAGTGCCAGCTCAAGTACCAGCAGCTCTGCTGAATTTATACCCACACTTGAGCATTTCCTGACAGTACTTAAGATAGACTGCCTGTCTAACTTTTGTCCTCTTTGTAAAGACTTGAGCAAGCGATTATTATTTTAGAAAGTGAGTGTGAAATGCCTGCCTGCCATTTTAAACAATATCACCCCTTGCACAAGTTCCACGTTTTAATTCAGGATTCTTCACTTGCCATGTCTCTCTCTTGCAATGACTCTGGCTTAACTTAACCACACGTAACATCCATTGTTTTGTTCTGTCACAGCTGTTGTTTATCACTAATTTGCAGAACTGATGCAACTCTGTAGGATTTAATAAGCCCTACCTTTCCGCAACATTTACCTGCAGGCTCTGCCTGCCTTCCTTTTCAGGTAGTCTGGCAAACAGCAATTCAGGTGCTCAGGCACTGGGTGTGTGTATATGTATATAAGTTACTTGAGGATTCACATCAGTATTGCTTGCTAAATTTGACAATTTGGAAATAATTTAGGGAGGAGCAAATCAAGTGCCTGTGAGCCATACAGTGAGTAACTTGGCCCTACAAGCTGTGCCAACGTCTTGTGTGCCAAATGTGTGGCAAGAGGGTGGCACGAACAGCGTGCCAGCGCTAGTCTGCCTGGCTGCCAGGCACTTCTCTTTATCCAATCAGACAGTTCGGTTTGAGTGAGACCCCCTATTCTTGTCTCTTCCCATCTCCTCCCGAAGCTTTGTAACCCTCCCGTGAAAAGCACAGATGCACACTTGCACACTATTAAGCCTCCTCAGTACAGTTACACTTACCTATAGACCATAACCAGGGAGTGAATGGTGCAGAGTGCTCCCTCTTTTTGTTTCTGTCTGCTGCTGCTGCTGCTCTCTACTCCTCCATCTTTTTTTTTCTTTTCTTTTTTTTTTCTTAGACAACATCACAGGCTAAATGAGCATGCCTCAGTCTGTTTTTTAAGCATTTCATCAGCATTATAGAAAGAAGAGTGTGTCTAGAGATCTGTTTTTCGGGGATGTGTGAAAAAAAATTCTGCCTGTCTGTGTGTGGCTTTATTGGACATGATGAAGGATGATATTATGGTGGATGCTGCTGCTGCTGCTGGGGCTGCTGGGGCTCTGAGATGAGGAAGGATCACATTTGTCTCACACCCGCTTAGTATAATGTGTCTATCTGTCCCTCTCCACAAGACTGGACATCAGTGTTCATCAAAATAAACATATTGTCAACACTGTTTTTCTTCTTCTTTCTTTCTTTTTTCTCCTGGTAGTTTTTGTTAATTTTTCTCCCATTGCTGCTCTTCACATATTTGCCACATCTAATCCAGAAAACACGTAACGCCACTGTGATTGCATGGATTTCTTTATCGCTGAAATTCTAATCTATAGATGGACACGGAAGTGGTAACCCGACAACACAGCGTGAACTCTGATTTATTATGTGGGAGAGGGGTGCTGGGGAAGAAATCAGTGTAAAGGAGCGAAAATAAATATTCTAAGAGCAATTACTGCGAGTAGACGAGCTGCGATTCAATAGGGAGAAGGTGATGCGAGGTACTTGCCGAAAAGATTAAGCTAATGTCGGCACTCCTCTTATGTCTTCCAGGTTGATGATGCCATGCTTATGTTTGATAAGACTACTAACAGACATAGAGGTAAGTGCACAGCTTCTGTTCCCCCTTTCCTGATGTTTTTTTCCCCCTCTGTCTTTCCGAAAGGTGAGAAAATAGTCATTTTATGTCCTTTCCCCATGAGATAACACAGAACAGTTCCATTTCACATGATATTAGGTGTGCCATCTGTTCAACAATGGGAGCGTGTCAAAGTAATCAATAAGCTGGTACGGTGTTTAGAATGTTTGAGCATTAGATGGAGAGTGTGTGTGTGTCTGCGATGATGCTGGTGTGAGTGTTTCAGAGAGGTGCTTAAAGGGTGTAAAGATTGCGAGATGGTGGGTGCTGTGCAGTCAGATAACAGCATCAGATAAGACCCAGGAGAAGCACTGACTTTATCGCTTTATCTCATCAGCTCCTTATCTGAGATGAGGGGGGACATTTCTCTCTCAAGCAGAAGGACTTTCCAAAGACAGGTTTCCTCCCTGCACCACAATGCGGCGTCGGCGTATTTAAGCCAAGCGACACTCTTTTAGGCCCCGACTTAACCACTGGCAGACACGTATATAGGCCTGTCACTTATCCTCAAAACTGTGCGATGGTTGGTATTGCTGCCTCACACAGGTACGCTAAAGGAACTTTTTAGGAGACAGACTGTCCCTGGCTGTTTATGCCTGTATGTATCATTGTGTGCGTGAGCAGTCGACAGGCGCTGACAGGTATTTCCACAAGAAAAAGGAGCAGACACTGCTGTGTTTGTCACGCCAGTCAGCTCACTTGTAGGCAGAGCTGGCATCACAACCCTCTCACTCAGCTGGGCTGAGCATATAGATGTAAATATTTGTTTGCAGCGAAGAAGTCGTCCCCTCAAAGTGTATAAATGTTTAAGTGCAGTGTTCTGGGATCGAAAGCAGTTATTGTTTTGCGAGTGAGCTCTGTCTTTGGTTTTTAAGCTATATCCGTGTGTGAGTGCTGTGGAGGCAAACTCTTTTGAGTCTGGTAAACAGTTTCTAAGTGTGAAACATGTGAACTATAGTGGAAGTGATCTATGGCTTTGAGGGGATTTTGATCTGTAGTGACAGAACCCAGTGTGAGGTCTGCTTTGAGACGAAGGCTTTTCTCACACTCTCTCTTATTTCTTGCTTTTCTCTCTCCTGTCTGCTGCACCGCCAGCCCTCTGTGAAAGGGGCTGGGCGCCATGCTTGGAGAGTGTGTTAGGCGTTTGCCTTTGGGCAGCAAAATGCCCTTCAAATGAAGACAGTGATGGAGAAACAGCCTCCTTGGCAATTTTTCTGATGACAGCGGGCATATTTATATTGAGTGTGACACGGAGACAGGCGTCAGGTGCAGTTCTTCCTGCGGTTGCTGTTTTGTCTAAGTAGCGTTTTGATTATTTGTTCCAGTGGGAATTTGACACGGTAGATATTTGCTTTTTTTCATCTTGGGGGAAAAAAAACAAAAAAAGCACAACAGGTCTTTCAGATGAATGGCGCAGAATATTACAAACCTCTAAGAAGTTATTCTTAGAGGTCACATTAATGTGACTGGTCATATTTGTATTTGCCATATTTACTTGAACCTTGGGAGGTTATACTGTAAAAAGAAAAATGCTATTTTTACTTAAAACCTTTTAAAGGTGCTCTTTTACTGCTGCGCAACAGCAAAGGTTCAGATGGCCTCATTTGAATGTCATTTCTGTAGCTTTTTTGTTTTTCTCCCTAAACATTTCTTACCTAAGGTCAGTGCTGTATATTGCTGTATAATGTGATGTATTTTTTTTTTTTTTTTTTTTTTTTGGAAGAGCTTATTGTGTTTGAGATGCATGATCGACACTTGATTGTGAGTGTTTTCTTTGGGGCTGTGGTGAATTGGATAGAGGACAAACGTCACACTTCACTAGTAGCAGCATTGTCCTTCAGACGGTCCTGCGAGCCTGGCGAAACGACAACCAGAGGAGACATTCTCTACCCTTCTCGTTTCTACCTTTTCTTTTTTTTTTTTTCCTTTTTACTCTCTATCTCTCCCGGTCATTCAGTCTTATTCGTTTTTCCTTTTCTTCTATCCAGTCACACTATTTCTGTCCCCAAACCATCTCCCATTCTGGCCTGTCTTCGGCATCTCTAGTCTTTCTCCTTCTGTCTCTCCTGTTAGAGGACACTTGCTGTAAGCAAAGCTCCTCACAAAGGCACACGCTGCACACCATCTCCTTGGCATTTAAAGGAGTAGAATACAGCCAATTGTGTTGGAAATTGAACTCTCTAAAGCCTCCCTTCCCGCTGCAGCAGTTCATTGTGGGTGAGTTCAGTGTCTTTGCTGAGCGGCTTGGGCTGTCCAGAGGTTGATGCCAGAGGGCGCCTATTGTTCCATGTTCTACTGCAGTTCCCCCCCCCCCCCACCTCACCCCACCCTCACCGCTCCTGCTCCGCCTCCCTACAACCTTCCCCTTTTTTTTCTCCTGACATTCATTTTGTGACAGAGAGGAGAATTTCAGGGCATTATTTCACAAGATATTTTTAACTTTTCTTGTTTATGGGTGGTTTATTCGGTTGTGCAGGAGGTCCAGCAAACAGTGCCTTTGCTCCAAAACACAGACTGGGGACAGGGCCATGAGCACAGCAGTCACAGACTACACATACCAGTCATAATTTCCAACCCCCTCAACATGCCTTCACATGCCAAAATTGGATGACAAGACAAGCTATATGGGTGGGAAATAAAAGCTTTTGGTATAGCCCTGAGTCAAAAATCGTTCTGTCATCCCTTTACCTCCTCCCGTCCCGCTGGCTGACATATGATCTATGGTCTCAAATGTGATTTTCACTGTCAAACACAATTGGCAGTGCCATGAAGAGTGTTACAGGGGTGCAGAAAAATGGCATCTGTAAAAGGATGGGATTGAGAGCATGATGAAAGAGTGGCAAATATCATTATCCGCCAAAGCATTGGGGTTTAATTTGTGAGTTACAAGTTACAGTAGATGATAAATGAATTCTTTGTCTTGTTACTCGTAAGCGTCCCTTATTAAGTGCTACTCTACCACACCGTAATTAGCCCTGCTTCTCCACCACAGTAGCACTCTCATTGTACCCCACGTATAATTCAAAAGGTACCTTGTACAAGGTGAAAATATTTAGCATAGATATTATTCACGAGCAGCTTCCCAGCATCACCCTTACTACACACAAATCAAAACAAGAACCACACGCACAACAGAAATTAGAGCAATGCAATTCCGATGCTAAAATATACTTGCAAGTTTCACGGATGATGATTATGATAATGATGATGATGATGATGACAGATCAAGCAGTCCAGCACGGCACAGTCTCCATGGCAACTTGATCTGGTCACGATAAAAGCTTGGCTGCAAGCACCAATAGGAAAAGTGCATTTTTAATTATTGCTGCTTCCCATGGCGAAGCATGGGGGGTTTTTGTTGTTTGTTTGTTTTTTTTTGTTGTTTGTTTGTTTTTTTGTTTGTTTTTTGATGACCTGAAGAAGAATTACCAAATCTAAACATCAAGCTTGGTGTCAATACAGTAGCTGAGATATCATCTCACTTTCTGTTTGGCTGCTTCGCTCCAATTTCTATTGGCTGCAACAAACAAACTGTTTGAAAATTTAAACCAGTATAGTAAGTTGGTTTTTTTGTTTGTTTGTTTGTTTGTTTTTTGCCTGTCGCGTTTGGATCTTTAGCCATCAGATTTATTGTCTGAAGGCCAAGAAAGATGCCTAGCGGATTTACTTTACCAAGTGGCTCATCATGGCCTTGCCATATTGGTCCATTTGATTGACCTTTATTATTATTATTATGTATTTATTTTATTTTATTTTCTGTTGTTACAGATGGGACAGACATGACTGTGGGATAGAACAGTGAGAAAGAAAGAATAAAAGAAAGAGAGGGTGAGAAAGAAAAACAGAGGGGAGAAGAGATAGTGAGAAAGGGAGGAAGAAAAAAAAATACCTGGATCACCCGTCGAGAGAAGAAAAAACAGAAGAGAAAACAAACAAAAAAGAGCAACATAATAAACACCATCATGATAAACTAGCTAACAGTAAATAACAGTAGATACTTAAATGTTATTAATTAAATGTTATTGTGCAGCACGCAAGATCGACAGCGCGCAATGTGCTTTGAGGTAGCAGCCAAGAAAGGTGTAGTTTGTGTCTGTGAACACCCGTGTGTACACCTGTGTGCACACCTGTGTGGATCAGCACGCTTGTATTCAAAAGGTTTCTCCATGTAACGATGTGCTAGGGAGTGTGGGGAGCCATAGCCCCGTCCCCCAGGGCGTGAAGCAGGTATGGAGGAGAGGAGGTGTAGTAAGTTCTGTGAGGCTCTGAAAGAAGATCACCTCCACCAATTTTGGTCATGACTGGAATCATTTGCTACCTGAATATGTTCAAAGTTTCAGTTAAATCCAGAATGGCAGTCTCGTCTATTAGGTTGGCATGGGGGAGGTAACTTGTGTCAGCCTTGATCTGTGATGCTTTTGCTTTTCTTTGGCACCTACTAGCAATCATTTGTGCTTCCAAGCAAGGTCATAATCAAGTGGCAACTTAGGGTTAGCTTTGGACTTGACTTTATGAAAGGAATCAGATGGAGTGTAGTCTTTAAAAATCTGCTTTATGCTTCCAGAGTTAAATGTTTATTGTAAACACAACCTCAACTTTGACCTGTTCTTGCTGCAGGAGTGCTCGAACCACAGAAACAAGAAACGAGTGAAAAGAAAGTCTTATGTGGCCACCTGTATTTGTCTTCAAAAGTAAAACAGCGCCCATAAATGCCCATGTTTTAAAAAAAAACTGCTTTGCAGCACAGATAAGAATTTTTACAGTCTGGTACTAAAGCTAACTTCCCCCTTTATAGCAACTGTCCAATAACTCACCCATAAAACTTTATTAAGGCTCAAAGTTAGGGATGTGGCTGCATTGACTGACAGAACACAGGCTGCTGACTCATACAGTTGTGTCAGGCAACTGTCTGCTAGGCTCCACATCCAATCAATGAACTGGAGCTTTTGATTATGTTTGTAGTT